ACAGCAAAAAAGCAATCATGCGGTGAACAAATGTCTATTTGCGTCATTTATTTCTTCGCGACCCGTTCATTCGAAAGAATCAAATTATCGTGTAACGAAGCTTACTTGATTTAGTTATGAATGAAACAGTAAAATCGATTCAGAAAATCGTTAAAGCTTGTTGGGTAAAGCTGAGGTTCTCCATAGTGGAATTTAGGCAACGGAAAAAACCAGCCTCCATAGAATATGACATCATGAATAGAAAACAAAACGGCGGAACTAAAGGAAAATATATTGAAAACAGCAACATTTGGCCATCCTCATCTCTAAATCATGGATTGGTTGCAGTCCGTAACTGACTACCACGATCTGCCTAATCGGTACTTAGTGGGGCCGAAAAATTTTGTACCAATGGCCGTAATCAGGATCATATTTTATCTATTTTCCTCCTCAACCTTTGATAAGATCCTGGAATAAACCTGTTCAGTTGCGAGAAAAGGTGTTGACCTGCATGTTGTCTGATCGAGTGTACGTAGATGATATTGTACTACCGAGTGAAGATTCAGATGTTTTGCAATCTTTATCGATGCGTCAGATGGTAAACCTATGCTCAGCGTACGTTTTACACCTCGAATAGGCAGAATGTTGCAACAGGATTGGGACGAATCTCAGATATTCAATCGGCACAGACACAGAGAAGGCTGCATTGAATCATGTCGATCTCAGACAAAAATGGCATCATCAAAATTGAAGCATATAGTAATGTAGCTCTTCCCATGTTGCTTCATAGTGCAGAAATCTAACCATTACGAGAGACTGATAATAACGGGTTATTCCCGTTCGAATACTAGTTTATACCACAGTGCACTAAGCTAATCGCGGCAGGAAGCGAGGAGGGGTAGGGATTTCTTTTTGAAGTACTACTGTGGGTACGATCGTCCGAAGATCCCCATGAAAGTGAGAACGTGTGAGAACGGGGTTAGGGTGAAACAGAGGAAGGTTGGGGAAGCATGTACGGCGTAGAACAATTCAATCAACCAACCCAGCCCATTTGACAGTTTATTTACACGATCATTCGGGCAATCTGGGTCTGCCCCCGGGAAATCGGACTCCAGAAGGGATAATAATATAGCATCACATGATCAAAAGTTTTATTCTATCCGCCAGTTCCCAGCAGCGTTCATGCAAATGTTCCTATCTGCCTGACGCAAAACGTAATTACGAACTTCATTGTTGTAAATTCTACCAGTGTAAAGAAACCAGAGTCGTCCTTGAACAGTCAACCGTGTCCTCCATTGATTAACTATGTCAACCCTGTTTATCAGGCCCTCCGGGGAACATCTAATTGCTCTTTGCATTTTAGTCCGTGGATAGATGCACACGTGCATGCACGGATCGAGGACAAACAGTGTGCGCATGCGCTTGTGCATCAAAGCTGATTTCGAGCTATGCCGAAATCAATGCTAATGATCTAGACGTTTAACTACTGGTGGCCTGCAGTAGTGAAACTGAGGATTCGCATTGGGTAGTTTGAAAGCCTGATTTTTTGGTGAGACGGAATTTCTGAGTTACCAGATTTCGAGAAAGATGGATGCTAGAAATCACCCATCGAGATAAAGATGAACATTGCACCTTTCGAATGGATGCACCACACTCTCGTGCTTGTTCGTCACGTTGGAATTTATCGTTTGCCTTATCCTTATACCGGTGCTAATCATGTCCAGGATCTACAAATATTCTCGTCAGGACATGCTACGACTAAAATCTGTGAACTCTGTGCTACACGCGAATTATTTGCTTGGTGAGCCATATAGGTCCTTGGATCAAAATCGCAGACGGGATGGCAGACTGCACTTATTTGCGCCCCTCTTGTGCCATCATTGGTCAGCACTAACGTTCGCTCACTAGACGCAAAGATCTCGGATTTAACCTCTATTCTGAATACACGCATTAATTCCAACACGTGCTGTTTGGGTACAAGAAACTTGTCTGAATCAAAACATCTTCCCGATCGATTCCTGATTATTGGGGTCCAGTTACCATTATTCAAGTCCCCAAATCTTCGTCCTCAATTATTCTGAGAAACAGTTTCGTCCTATCGCGCTGACCTCAGCTGTTCCAAAGTTAACTGAGTCGGTTGCAGTCAGACACCACAATTCCTCACGACCCCCTTCAGTTTGCATATACAGGTCTAATCGAAACTGGAGCAACAGGTCCCTGTGAAACACTTGTATGTTCGTATAGGCAACAGTATTTGTACTAGACTAAATTTTTTTCCAAATAATAACAAACAAGCCTTGGTGAGTCTTTATAGCATTGATTTTCCTGATTCGCTTATACTCAGGAGATGGAATAAGTCACAATGTACAGGATACTCCCATTTCATCAGTAGTGGTTGACCTACAGCATGACGAATTAGGAGGTAATTTAATGGGATAAAAAAGAAACTGCTTAGATCCCAGTAGACAAGATATAAATTATTGTCCACACATAAAGCACTAAAACAAGGAATAAATATGATGAAACTCCACTTGATCATAGAGAAAATATTTCAGTGCATCACAGTCGACCAGTACTGTAGACCAAACAGATCTCAATTGGGCGCCGTATCCACTTTTATCCACATTTTATCAGCAAGTCATTGAACCATTCGGCCAAGTCTGTCCGTTGTTTTTCTCGACCATTCGTCTGCGTTTGATTGTTTTCCGATTATCCCTTATTTTCAAACTTGGATCTTTTGGCACTCCAAGACAACTGCTCTCATAGCTTTCGGACTATTTCACACAGAGGGTCCAGTGCACCAAATTAGGAAGGAGGACATCAAAACCTCATGTTAATAATTCTGGTGTTCCTCAAGGTACTTCATATCTTTTTTCTGCCTTTATTATTGATCTTTCGGTCCCACCCTCTGCGCACATCCAAAAGTATGCTGATGACGCTGTTTTGTCTCAGACAGTTTCATCTTCTTCGGAATTTCATTCTTTTACTGAAAACCTATTCAACAGTTTTCTGACCAATCTGGTCTCAGTCTTAACATATCTAAGTGCGT